CTTGGGACGAACTCGTATATTATCTATTGTTTAATTTTCTATCCCTATCGTATATTTCTTTTATAATTGATTAAACTATAATCTGCTCTGTTATGTGGAAGGGGAAAAACTAGTTAGATCCTGTTGGATTGCTCCTACATAAAAAATAGGTATATTTTATTATAATGTACTATTTCCAGCAGTTTGTTTTTGGTTTTAAGCAAACTCTGACTAAACAGAATAGAGGAAAATATGTACTAATTGAAAATGATTGTTCATTTCAAACTTCTTTTGAGCCCCATAAAAAAGTGTAGCCTTTTAGCAGCACAGATTGAGCAAAGAAATTAAAAAGCTTTGTGTTTGAAAATTTTGGAACATCAAAGGTTTTAACTTCTCAGAAACTTCCCCATTTGATTCTTTTTGTTGGTAAGAATTTTTTTGTTACTAGTACATCAACTTTTTTGCCTAGTTGTATGTTAGTGACACAAGGAGGAAAGCCTACACATGTGTAATAGCTCGAGAAATTAATAGATGCATCATGTGGCATGTCTTAATCATTATTGTACAACCAAGAGATTGTAAGTTTGATCTCCTACCTTCACATTTTTTACTAAAAAAAGTGACACCATACCTTACATTCATCCATTAATTCCAATCGTTAATACTAACTACACTAAGTTGAACTTTTTAAATAATGAGGACTAAATTAGAAAAATCACTCAGATATTAAAGTCTAAAACATAATTTCCAAAAATTAATTTTACTGGATTAAATATAATCGCATAAGAAATCATAATCTAAGTAATAATAAAATCTGCCAAAGCGAGCATAGCTCAGCGGTAACTGGCATATACCTCCAACCATGAGGTCAAAATATTGAGTCTCATTTAGAGTGAGGCGGACATCGACACGTGTGGGGAGACTAGCACAGGTAAGCTCACATAAGGTGGGTTAATATCTATACATTATTATTGGTTGGACAAAACTATATATTTATCAATTACAAAAACAGATGATGTATATTATCCATTCAATTGTGTAAATTAAGTTAGGATTCCAGTTATAACACAATTAAAGTAACGGAAACTCGCAACTTAAAAGAATAGGTGAACGACCTAAAACTTTTAAAAAGTTATAAGAAAGATAACAAATAAAGATAAGAGAAGAGAGACCATTGCAGGTTTATATGGATTCACCTAATGTGGATTGTCAAGGATCCCACATTGAAAAAAGAGAGAATTTAACAATGGTTTATAATAAACATGAGCTAATCCTCTCATAACCAATTGATTTTGAGATGGAACCATGAAATATTCGAGAATGATTTCCCTTACTTTTCTCTCGTGTAAACGACTAAAACTTTCCTTCTCCACATTTTTAATTGTGTGGCAGCGTCGTGACTCTTCATATATCAGAGCCATGGCGCTTTGAACTTGAAGTTCAACCTAGATTTTTGGCTCCACAGCATCTTTTGGTTCTATTTTTCTCATGACAAGTGATTTGCAAAATGTTAAACATAGTTTTCGTTATCTCAAAAAAAAAAAAGAGCAAAATATTATATATTTAAATCTCTAGTATTTGCTTTGGTTTCTAAGTTTAAACGTAATTTATTTTTGTTTCAAAAGTAAAAAAATCTTATATTGTATTTTCAAGCCACTAAACAATCTTAATAAAATAAGTATATATATAGATTACTTTGGTATAAATTACTTTTTCAAAGTGATTTGCTATATTTTAAATAAATTCATTAAATGGTTTACTATTTTAAATTTAATTAACATAGTAAATCAATAATGGTAAGCAGTTTACTCTCGTTTTGACGATGATAGTAAGCCGTTTACTATTACAAGATCAATCCAAAATGATAATAATATTAGAGAGTAATTATAAAACGATATAATTGACATTAAAAAAAATACCCTAAAAATATTGATATTAAAAATAAAATAGTTCATGATAATTTATAATTGATTAAACCATAGAATTTTGACCCATATAGTTAATGTTGTCATTGCTAATAACTAATGTTGTGATTGCTAATAATTAATTTATTCTATTTAAACATATTCTTGACTATCTTCCTAATCATATCTGGATCACAATGTGAAAATTTCCTAAAAAATATATAATATCATATATAAAGAATGAAATTGAAATTTTAAATATTTAATTTGAATATGATACGAAAGGACTAGGACATACATATCCAACTAAAATAAACTATAGAGTTTTAATTAGTTGAACAATGAAATTAGATGAGATATTATTATCCATTCTTACAAGTAAGAAGAACCATATCTTTTCCCCATATTAATTCAATCTCTTATAAGATCATTATTGGTTCAATTTTGTTTGCCCCCAAGATTGAATTTTCTGTCCAATATTATTATTATTATTTCTTTTCAGCAAAATACTACTCTTTGACAAATCACAAAAGAGAGAGGAAAAAAAAAGTCTAATATTTTAGATTAGACTTCTTTGTCAACGTAGTGTGGCTGGCTTAGAAATGGAAGCAAATGATATTTTCAAACATGGTATTAAAATTCAAATTATGAACATGCATATTTTTTACGGTGCTTTTTTATCATTTTTCTTTTTACATTTTTTTAGCCTAATTTTAATTGAAAAGGTAATTTTTTTAATGTGGTTAAAGCCCATAAAATTTCAAAGAAGCTCAAAGTTACCTCTAAGACAATTTTCTGATTAGCAAGGTAAGTCTTCGTAAATTTGACGGAGAACAAGTCATCCTTCGATGAACACCACAAAAACTTATCCAAACCCTCTTGAATATATATAAAAGGGGAGGAGAGAAATTTACAATGAAGATTTCTTTTCTGAAGTCGAATGTTTAATCATCCGCTCCATATTTATTATAAAAAAGGATCTGTACACACTACACGTCTGGTTGAAAGCAACTATTTTGGTACATTTATATAGAGGTATTTGGGTACCCACAAAGATATTTTTCTATTAAAGGTCATATCAAGATTAAGATTATAATAATTTCTTCCCCGTTCGGTACAATAAGATCAATAAAATTAAATTTCATAATTTGCCTTGTACTGAACGTTATCTTTACATAAACCAGGACCATAGTCATTGAATGTTCTAATCTAAGCAGCAAAAGATACATTTCAGGAGATTATTTGATTTAACTTCTTTTGTTTGTATTGAAAATAAGCTATTTGATCAGTAACTAATGTGCCTCTATCATTTATATTACTTTCTAAATGGGGCTTTTTTTTTTATTCCATGTCGATCAATATTATTACAAAAATTACCATTATTGACTAGGTCGATGATTTGATCTCCATCTCCGACAAAAAATACTATTAAGAACTTAGCATGTTTATTATTAATTTTTAAAAAAATAAAAAATGCATTAAAAAAATCAACAAGTTACGTGAACTACATTTGGCCTACCTTTATTTCTTTAGTACAAATCGACATCCATTGGAGATAAGTAAAAGGACTTGATAAAGCCCTCCTTTTCTCAAAATCTATGCAAAAAGAGATGCATAAGAAAGTAGAGGACTAAATGTATCTAGGTATAAGCTTTCATTCAAAAATAATCTCATCTAGTTATTAGAACGTTAACAGCTTTATTTTGAAGAAAAAAAATCAAAATATTATAATGGGCGAGCATCTATCATGAATAGATATCTTATTGATAAACATTAATAGATATCTACTGGTAATCGACAAATGGAACAATTATGTCATATTTGCTAATATTTTTAACATTATTTTCAACCCTCTTTTTAGTCTTTAGGATGAATTAATGTCTAGGATAAGTTTTTCTTTTTTTTTTTGGTAAAAAAAATTATCAAAATCTTAGTCATCATACATGTTGTGGATGTTCTGGATTATCAAATGTGGAGTTCCAAAACAAGTTAAAGATTTTTGTTAAAGTTATCAACGAAAATGAACAGAAAAAACAAATGGTTAATATAGCTTGTTTTTTCTTTACCAAGTTTAGGTATGAAATACAATAAATAATAGATGAGTTTAGAGATCAAATTAAATTCTAAGTTTTTTATATAGGTGTGAAACTCGAAAGGACCTGAAGCAAGTCGGTTTAGACACGAGTGTCGAATCGTTGGCATTTCTTTTTCTTTCTTCTAGAGAAGGATTGAGGTGCGAAGGAGCAAAACGAAAAATAAAGAGAGAGAATTCATTTCATTTTTTTCAATTTTTAAAGATTTTGGGTTTGCCACTTGGGACGCAGTTGCCGCTATCACTAGGTCATCATCACTATCGTCGTTGTAGTCTATCTCTGGATTGCCTATTTCAAATTCTATCGAGGGAGGGGGAGAGAGAAAAAAAAGCGCATGCAAAAACTTAAAATAAAATGAATAAACTCTCGATTGTGTTGAACCGAACCGATTATTAGCAATTCTAAAGTTGCTTTGAGTCAAATCGCTTTATTATACCCCTAACTTTTGATACAATTATAATGTACGATGCTGATTGAAGATCGCATTGTTTTACTCTTTTATTTTTTTTAATTTATGATACTAAATACGTGACTTGTCGATAGTGTGTATTAAAAATTTCAGATTAAAAAAGAACATTTTACTCATATATTATTTGACATGTTAATCATTTTACTATTATTGACTATGTATTTCAATAATACTTTCTATGTATAGATAGTGGATAGAAAACAGTTCATAAATTTAAAAAAGAAAAAAAAACTGACATCATTGACCAGATTTGCACTTTCAATAAAATAATAATAAAAAGAAAACCAATCCCATCAAACAGAAACTCTTCGTTCATGCAATTCAACTACCGGTAATGTTGAAAATTTTGTTCATAAATTTTAAAAAATAAAACTATATTGATAACATTATTTTTTAATACAAATTATCATCATCTTTGGCATTTTATTTTGACTTTGAACTTTTCTTGGTCAAAATGTGTTGTAAAATTGCATAATCTTTGTTCGTCTCCAGTAAAGTTCAAATCTTTATAAATAATTCCCTCTGCAACTCCAAATCCCATCTTCCCAAACAAAAAAAAAAATATATCGACAAAAATGGAGGCAACTATTTTACGCCCATTTTTCCTCTTATCTCTATTATTTTCACTTCTGTTTTTTGCTTCTGCAACAACGACTGCTTCGCCTGAAAATTTCCTTAAGTGTCTTCTCCGCCGCTCTCCGCCGTCGCACCCCATTTCTCCGGCGATCTTCACACCGGACAATGCTTCTTTCTCCTCCGTTCTTCAGACCTACATTCGAAACTTGCGATTCAACACCTCCAGCACTCCCAAGCCCTTCCTTATTCTCACGGCTCTGCATGAATCTCACGTCAAAGTTGCAATTCTCTGTGCCAGAATCCATAATCTTCAGATGAAGATTCGGAGCGGCGGCCATGATTACGAGGGCGTTTCTTACGTCTCCGACGTAGTTCCCTTCTTCGTCCTCGACATGTTCAACCTTCGAGCCATCACTGTCGACGTTGAAACCGAGACCGCATGGGTATGTGATCACTTAATCATTTATTTATATTTATAACACTCCCAGTGTAGGGCCATAAATTGTTCATGTGGAGTTTTGGAAAATTTAGATCCTGTCTAATAACGATTTTGTTTTTAATTCTCTATTTTAAAAAATTATGCCTGGTTTTCTCGCAATTAATTTCTATCTTCTTTCACTTTTTTTAGAACACAATTGAATTCTATCCCATCTAAATTTTAAAGTGAAAAACAAGATTTTAGAAACTACTTTTCTTGTTTTCAAAATTTGACTTGGATTATCAAAACATTTTTAAAAGTTGATGACAAAGGCAGAGAAATATATAGGTATGTAAGTAATGATTGTAAGCTAAATTTTCAAAAAGAAAAAATAAAAAACAAAATAGTTATCAAATTCCTACACTTAGATATTATAAACCATTTTTAAGTTTACAGGTTACTATTATATTTAATCATTTATTTATATTCTTAACAGGTTGAAACAGGAGCTACGCTAGGAGAAGTGTACTACAGAATCGCGGAGAAAAGTAAGCTCCATGGCTTTCCTGCCGGAGTTTGCCCCACGGTGGGTGTCGGTGGCCATTTCGGCGGCGGTGGATACGGGAACATGATGAGAAAATACGGCCTCTCAGTGGACCAAATCATCGACGCCAAGATGGTGGACGTCAACGGTAAGCTTCTCGACAGAAAATCAATGGGAGAGGATCTGTTTTGGGCCATCACAGGCGGCGGAGGATCGAGCTTCGGCRTCGTGGTTGCCTACAAAATCCAAACCGTCCGAGTGCCGGAGACGGTGACGGTGTTCAAAGTAGAAAGAAGATTGGCTGAGAATGTGACGGAGATTGTGGATGAGTGGCAGAGGGTGGCACATGAAATCGACAATGATTTGTTCATAAGGGTAACGTTCGATGTTGTCAATGGAACTGAAAATGGAAAGAAGACATTGAGAGCTACATTTATAGCCTTGTTCCTTGGAGATTCCGAAAGGCTTCTGTCTATAATGGACAAGAGCTTTCCAAAATTGGGTTTGAAGCAATCTGATTGCCTTCAAATGAGTTGGCTTGAATCGGTTCTTTTTTGGACAAATTTCCCACTAGGTAAAGTAATTTAATTTCTTTTTAATCCAAAAACTTAAACAGTTCTCATATGTTAATTGTAGGGTTTAAGGTTAACTAGTTTATCTGGCTTGTTTTGGTAATGTTTATAAAAGATTTCAAAAAAGAGACACGACAAGAAATAAGATAATTTTTGGTCTTACCTAACATTAAATACGTTTTCTTAAGATATAAATAAACACTGTTTGTTTGTTTGGCTTTTTATTATTATTATTTATTTTTTGGTTCTTGTTCCTGGCCTTTCTTAGTTACAAAAATAGAAATACTTTTAGTTATCATTTCTTTTCTCAAATTTTTACTTACAAAATAAAATTTTCAAGTATTCATGATGAGTCAATGATGAGTCAATGATAAAATATATTGTTCATTAATTATGTGTTTTAATAATTAGAAAAAAAACAAGAGAAATGAGAAATTGTATTATCTTTTCCAAAATATGTTTTTTAAGAAACTAATAAAAATTACTAATTAGGCTCTTTTTGATAACCCTTTCCTTTTTAGTTTCTTAATTATGCTTAATTTCTCCTCCTTTATTTGATACTCATTCCCATCCCTTAAAACTTCATTTGAATTGTTTGCCAATTTTCAAAATAAAACTAAATTTTTAAAACTTACTCTTTTTAATTTAGTTTTCAAATAATTTTGTATTAGACTGTAAAGTTTTTCAAAATAAATCACAAAACTAGTGTTTATAACCTTAATTTTCAAAAACCAAAAACCAAAAAAAGAAATCGTTATAATCAAATCACCCCTAAACATAAATCCTAGCCTTAATTAAAATTTCCTTTCCCAAAATTTGACTTGTGAAACAGGAACATCAGTCGACGCGCTACTCTCCAGAAAACCTCAAGTTCTCACCCACTTGAAAAGAAAATCAGACTACGTGAAAACCCTAATTCCAAAGGAGGGTTTGAATCAGATATGGAAGAAGATGATCGAACTCGAAAAACCGATGTTGACATTCAACCCCTACGGCGGAAGAATGGCCGAGATCGCATCTTCAAAGACTCCATTTCCGCACAGAGCTGGAAACTTATGGAAGATTCAATACGCAACGAACTGGGACGAAGAAGGAGTCGAAGAAGCCGACCACTTTATAAACTTGACGAGAAAACTATACAACTTCATGACTCCATTCGTGTCGAAGAATCCGAGAACTGCCTTTTTGAACTACAGAGATCTTGACATTGGTGTCAACCACAATGGCAAGAACAGTTACAATGAGGGCAGAGTTTTTGGGGTCAAATATTTTGAAGGGAACTTCGACAGATTGGTAAAGATAAAGACGAGGGTTGATCCAAACAACTTTTTCAGAAACGAACAGAGCATTCCTAGGTTGCCATACGTGAAAAGATTATAATAAGGTTGTTTAATTTGTTGTTGTTGTGTGTTGTCGTTTTATTTGTCTTGTTGGTTGTCATGTGACGATGATTATTATTAGCTTGATTAAAAAAAAAATTGTTATGGCTAGCTTTTTACAAACTTTTACAATAAAATAAAATTAAAGTTCTGTTGTTGAATCATGATAAGTCAGCGCCCAATTAGTTGACTTTTGATGTGTTTTTCTCTCTCAGTGAGAAATACACTTGCAGGTCGTTAGCTTTGAATTTAGTTAAAGTAATTCATGACCGTTAAATATTTGGAAATACGTAAATTTCTGTCATTTTTTTCCCATAATCGGGTCAATAACGTCTTGCGACACTTTTTCTGTTGGGTTTGTAAAGAGTGAAAATAAAGTCCTACATTGATTAGGGAAAGGGATGATCCATGGTATATAAGGGAGATAGGGATGATCCATGGTATATAAGGGAGACAATTATCTCCATAATGGTATGAAACCTTTTGGGTGGAACCAAAAGCAAAACCTATTTATAATAATAGTATAATTCCTAATCATATAAGGTATAGAAAATCCAATTCAAATAATATAATTTAAATTAAATCTAATAATATCTCATTCTTGTAATTCAAATAATATTTATCTAATAATATTATCTAACGTCCCCTTAAATTCAAAAAACTAAATTGTGAGTTTGCTCAATAATCCAAAATTAATGCTTAAATAAAAATAGAAAACTAAGGCGAATACCAAAACTCAAACTGAACCAAACGAAAATCAAAATCAAAGCGGCAAAATGCCAAAGAAACTGCAACATGCCAACAAAGCTGCAAAATGCTAAAGAAACTGCAACATGTTGACAAACAACATGTCAATGTGAATGACAATACCAATACCAACCAACAACCAATGTCAATGTCAATACCAACTAATAACCAATTCCAATGTCAATTCCAACGAATGCTTCCAAAAACCAATCCAAAACCAAAATCAAACTAAACAAAAGCAACCAAAAACGTTATAGAAACTCACAAATCCACCCGTCAAACTAAATCCTTCTCGAAAATACATCAAACAATCTTTATTTTCTTCTTCATCCTCCTCCATATTGTCTTCCATACTTATTGTCTCAACTAACCTAGGTCTAATACCATGTTAACTTTTAGAGGAGGAGAAAAAATAGGGAGAATAGCAAATAGATTTCATTGAATTGAATGGCTTGATAGAAACCTAATAACTTATTTATAATAGCATAATATAAGCTATAGGAAATCCAATTCAAATAATATAAACTAAAATAAATCTAATTATAATTCAAATAATATTATCTAACCGTTCTATTCTATGGCTAGAGGGTAATCAAACCATTTTTGCAGCCTCATCAAGATCCCCTACAAACTTATAATGAGGGACATACAAATTTCTGTTTCTCTTTTATAATTATGATGTTTAATTTCTTTGAACTAGGGAGCTTTTATTTGAGCCTCCCTTTTTTTGGTAGGTTTCTCACCTACCTCAATGAAATGTATATCCATTTTCCAAAAAAAAAAATTAAATTGTAAATCTGCTGTTAAAACACAACAACAATACTTTCCTTACATTAACGAGTAGAAATTCCTATCGACTTTGTCGTGGCTTATTTTCGTTGACTTAAAAATTAAAGTGGAATCCACTCATCTATTTTTTTCCTTGAGAACAATGAAACTAAAACCCAACCAACACAAAACTACAAAAGTACCCAATCCTTCGAGGCAATGGGTAAGTAAACGTGGCCTTAACCCTATCTCCCTTTAAATCATATAAAATGTAATAGTACACTAGGTATGGTAGCTAGGTAAATATTTTTCTTTACACAAATCATATAAAAGGATCAATACAAGCTTTTATTACGAGAGTTGATCCAAATGCAAATGATATAAAGAACCATACTTTCTTACTCGTGCATCAACAAGAATTTTTCTACTAATCACCGTTAAAAATTTGACAGCTATTTATATTTTTGAAAAAACGAAATTGAAAAAAAATCTCTAAAGACATATAAATGATTACGATCGCGATCCATCTATACTTTGTACGGAAGAGGTGGTATACTCTGCTCATTCCAAAAGAAATTCCGAGGATCAACAGCACTTTTCACCTTCGCCAACCTCTCAAAATTCCCATGAAAATACTTTGCCCCGTAAACCTTCCCTTGCTCGTACCTTGTCTCCCCATTATCATTAACCCCAATATCAAGATCCCTATAGTTCAAGAAAGCCCTCCTCGGATTCCTCGAAACCAATGGAGTCATGAAACCGTGAAGCTCCCTTATCTGAGTGTCGAATTTCTTGTCGGCTTCCTCCCCAGATTCCTCCCAATTCACTGAATATTGAATCTTGAACAAATTCCCACTTCTGTGGGGAAACGCCGTCGCCGAAGAACCAATTTCGCTCATTTTTCCTCCATATGGATTCCAAGCCATTCCCGTTACCCCTATTTCGATCATCTTCTTCCACAGCCTCTCAAGCCCTTTCTTCGAAATGGGTCTCTCAACATAATCCGATTTTCTCCTCAGAAAATTGGCTGAGTCCAGATTCCGGTCAAGCAAAACTTCCGGCGCAGTCCCATTGCCGAAATTTCCCCACCAAAGAACTGATTGGATCCAACCCATTTCCAAGCAATGTTCTTTTGTTAAACCCAGCTCGGGAAAGTCCTTCCTCAGCAGCTGCACGAGCTCTTCGGATCTTCCCAGAAAGAGTGTCACTATCGAGGCTCGGATCGTCGTCGTGTCGTTGTTGTTCCCACCTCGTCTGACGACAGGCTGCAGAAGCATTCTCATAAAGAGTTTGTGTGCTACCGTGGGTGCGACATGCTGCCATTTGTGGACGATGTCTGTGGCGTTGCGTTCCAATGTTCTTTCGAGGCGGAAGACAGTGACGGTGGCAGGGACAGGGACGAGTCGGAGCTTGTAGGAGAGGATGACGCCGAAGCTGCCACCGCCGCCGCCTTGCATGGCCCAGAAGAGATCCTCCCCCATGGATTCTCGGTTGAGTACTCGTCCGTTGACGTCGACGAGGTGGACATCGAGGAGTTGATCGCTGGCTAGGCCGTATTTTCGTAGCATGTTGCCATAGCCGCCGCCGCTTATGTGCCCTCCGACCCCCACCGTCGGGCACACTCCGCCGGGGAAGCCGTGGACTTTGCTCTTCTCCCATATTCTATAGTAAACTTCTCCGAGGGTTGCTCCTGCCTGAAGGGAGGGAAAGAAATTCAAGGAACAAATGAGAGTCTTTATTACTATTCATATTATCTATGAAGTCATTTCTAGATAATTACTATTCATATTATCTATGAAATGAGTCATTTCTTTTTTTTTTGGCATTTTATTGGTCCTTCATTTTCGTCTAATCTATTAATTTTATCTTTATTTTCGTAAATAGAGTTGAAAACTCACAATCTTTTTTAGTCGAACATATATGTCAATTATCGTGTTATGCTCGCTTGGACTATTAGTTTTATCATTTTTCTAATATTTTTTTATTTTGTTCATATTAGGAAATCGGCATATATATTTTGGCATCTAGAGTTTACATCATATATCATTGATAAGAGTGATTTTTTTCTATTTCAATATTTTAAGTCTAAAAATAATAATTTTGGTACTTGGACATTTTTAAATGTTTATTTTAAATTTTAACTTTTTTAAAATTATTATTTTTAATTCTTCTTGTTGTTTTGTTACTAATATACTTGCATATTGTACGTGATCGAAAGGAAGAGGGGCAGTAATTTACTTCCCTAAATTTTCAAATTTTAAAGATTATATATATATATCTGTGTGCGTAAAGTTAGCAAGTTGAAAATATTATCCACCACCACAACCGATGTATGTGGCTCTAATAATTGCCTAAAGTTGGGGATAAAAAATACCTTTTGAAATACTCTCTCTCTAAATGAGAGGGATATATTTTGAAAGTTCAAGGATAAAATGAAATTATTTAGATTTAGATTTTGTATATGAAAAATTCTAGCTCTGCCCTTACTTGAACCCAAGCAGACTGATCTTCAACGTCGACGGCGATGGAGCGGAGATTGAACAAGTCGAGGAGGACAAACGGGACATCGGAGACGTACGATATACCCTCGTAGTCGTGGCCACCAGCACGCACCTTGAGCTGAACCCGCAGGTGTCGGGAGCAAATGACGGCGGCTTGAACATGAGTTTCCCGAAAAGGGGTTAGAATAAGAAGAGGTTTTGGAGTTGAAGAGGTGTTGAATCGGGCGTTTCTGATGTAGGCTCGAAGAACAAAGGGGTAAGAAGCGTTAGTTCTGGCGAAGACTGTGGCTGAGATTTGGTCGGAGGGATGTGTTGAATGTTGCAGGCAAGAAACGAAGCTGTTGTAAAGAAAATCTGAGCCTCCATAGCCATAGGAAGAAGAAAAAAGAGAGAGCAAGAGAAGAAGAAGAAGCATGGTTGGGAATCAAGAATATAATGATACCAAGTAATGTAAGAAGATTTCATGAGTGATTATGGCTTTTATAAAGAAGAGGGGAAAAAAACATACTAGGAATTACTTTTTTTTTTTCCGAAGGTAAATATATTAAACCAACCAGCGAGGATTTCATAGACCGAGATCAATGCAAATACCCAACTGGAGACAAGAAAATAGAGAGTAAATCAGAGTAAACCAAGAAAACAAATCTCAGACCGAAATTGTTGGCTTTTTGGCCTTAATCTCAAATTAATTAATTTTAATTAATTAATTAATTAATGTTTTGATGATAACCAACTTAATTTTATTTATTGACATTTTTTGTATTTTAAAGTGTCCACAGCGTAGAGCTCGTTACAACGATTCCAACGACTATTAGATCATCCAAATCGGAACTCAAACGGAGAAGTTACGATCGAAACAAATTGGAAAGAAAAATAGCCGAGAAGATGACCTGGACAGTTCATAAGCTGACAAGTGATAAACTTTTTTTTAAAATATATATATTAAAAAAGAAAAGAAAAAGATTTAAAAAAAAAAACTCAAAAGTTACACAGGATACTTTATTTAGAAAAAAAAAATTTACATCATGTCAGCATTAAATGCTGAATGTTGACATGTGTGTGTTAAAAAAAAAAAGTTTTGGAAAATTTTACCGCTTTCTCACACACACACATGCATATATATATATATATAATTCAAAACTTGTAACATCTTTTTATATATATATTTTATTTTATTTTATCATTATTATATATATATATATTATTCTTAATTATCTCAACCCTTCATTTTTAATAATAATTAATATCTAATGGTTCAAAATTAAACTTGATTTTTTTATCATTTTCTTTCCTCTACCTAAACTAAACTTCTCATTCAAAATTATCCTCTCAATTGATAACATGCTGGTTTGAAAAATTGAGAACTTGGAGAGATTAGCAAATGAGAATTTTAAAGTTATAGAGGATTGAAATTTTTGTGAGCTCAAATTTATATATTTACTCTATTTGAGAATTTGTAAATGTGTGTTTCAAAATCTTCAACTCATTGTAACGGTGTGACCCTCACCGTGGAGAAGATCGTATTTTCTCTTGTGAAGAGTAGTGTACCGGTTTAACTCCTACCGTGGAAAGAGTCAGAGTTTTTATTTATAACCCAAGAGGTGCTTGGGAAGTGGGGTAGGACAGTTGTGCCGAACCACTATAAAAATTCTCGGTGTCAAATTTCTCAAACCCTCTCTCTTATTTATTTTTGCAATTAATCTTAGAATTTTATTGTTTGCTTTAAATTTCTCTTGTTTGCCTTAGAATTTTATTGTTTGCTTTAAATTTCTCTTGTTTGCTTTAGAATTTTATTTTTTGCTTTAAATTTCTCTTGTTTGCCTTAGAATTTATTTTATCTTACTTTGTTAAAATTGCATATCTCAAAAAGTGTATTATTTTTGTTTAAATTGAGCTCATTTATTAAAAAGTTTATATTTTGTTAATTAAACCTTATTCACCCCCTCTAGTGTTGCCATACCGATCCAACAATAAATTTAAGATCAAAACTCGAACAGCAACTCTCAATCATGTAGTACAACGAAAATAGATTGATGGTGAATGTATAAATTAATTAAATCCCAGGCCAACTATTAGGAAGTACATTATTTTCTAAAATTAATTGTAAATGTATATCCTCTTTTTTTTCAAGACAATTGCAAACATAACAACTTTTGTGTCATTTTTTTCTTTCTAAATGATTGCAAATAATATAAACAAATTGAATAGTAATTAATTAATATCCTAGATTGATATTGACTAACTGAAATTTTAGGATATTAGTCATTAATCTATATTCTGACCAATTATAATAATCTACCTCATTAGCCTATATATATTGAACATTTTTTTTTTAAGATAAGGAAGAAACTTTCATTAAAAGTTAGAAATTTCAAGATATATTCTAATCAACCTCCAGACTAGATTCATTCAAAAGTTGCTGCCAATTTGTGAACTAAGACATTCATATTTAAGAGGTTTGTGCCGAAAAAAAAAATATACGTTAAGAGGTTTAGTCATTTCTATTGGGTGATAGGTTTTTTGTCTTACATTATTTTTTTTTAACTATTTTTACTCTCTCTTTTTTTTTTTCCTTTGTGGAAGAAATTGAATGGTTAAATTCGTATATAGAGAAAACTTTTTGAGAATGATATAATCAATCTATAAAAGTAAAACTGTAGATATGCTATTGACATCAATCGTTTAGATCTTTCTCACCAGCTTATTAAGTGTTTGCTTTTAATATTGATCCTTTAAAATTAAAAGGTTTTTACTTTAATCTCTCAAATTTTAATAATATGCGACATTCAGATTTGATATTAGTTCTATTTTAGTCATTTAAATTTGAATGAATGATTTAATCTGATAATGTCTTCAACATAATTTTTTTGAAAAAAAAAATTCAATGATATTCTTTTATTTAGGAACAATCATCGATATTCCATTTGAAAATTAATGTGATTTGGAATAAATTCATCTTTAATTGACATTAAACGTTTTTGGAGGGATTAAAAAAACGTTTCATAAGTCTTGAGTAATGGTGCAATGGTTATGACCTCATTTATCATGAGGTTTTGTGTTCAAATCTCACTTGCTGCAATATATATATAACTTTTTTAATAATTTGATCCGTTGGAAAATTATTGTATGAAGTACCAATTGAAGTGATACATTTTTCGTTGTGAAACAAAATTATTATTAAGTAAATATAAAAAAAATTAAAAAAAAAAGTCCAAAATGTCGTCTAGGTCGCATTAAATAGTTTGATAAATATCTCCATCGTTGATTAACTTTTAGGTCAAATTTTGGAAAACACAAAAGTTAGAATTGTCAAAGGTTTAAGACCACAACTTTTATTTCCTTTATCATGATGAAAAATGGATAAATTCATTGAATTTTCTCCGCCTAATAACTGTGTGAAAAAATAATTCTTTGAATACTAATTATTTTCCTTAACAAATGTTAAATTTTATCTTTCTCTTTTTTAAGTAAAGAAAGTTAGTTCATTGATAAAAGTGTGTAAAATGTGGCACATATATATAACAAAAACATTAAATTTACTTTAATTCATCGACTTAAGTTTTTGAGTTGAGTTGATTGATGATTTAACATGGTATCAACTAATGCGGAGAAGCAATCTTAGCAGGTGGTCAATCAATCATGCAGAAATAAGACATTAACTTCCTTGAAGCTTTGGCATTTGTGTAGGCTTGAAGGCGATTTCTATGATTGAGAGGATATCGATCATTGTGGAATCCGACTGCCTTCAAGTGATAAATCTCTTAAATAGAAAAGACTCTAAGCTTGCATAAATTCAATAGGTCATCGAGGAGGCAGTTCATCAGGCGTCGAATTGCAAGCTAAGGATTGAGGTTTTCAAGCAAGTGCCAAGAGACTCGAATAAGGGGGCTCACGAGATTGCATAGGGAGCCAGAGATGGAGGAGAGAATCTGAGATGAGATCGAAATTTCCCAATCTAGATGGTGAACTTTATTTATTTTGAACTCCCTGTTTCTTAATTTTGTTACTTTACCCTTTTAATAGAAAAAAAAAACATGGTATCAAAAATAGGAGGTTTATATTTTATTTTATGCAATATCATTTCTTCCCCTTCTAATATTGGTTACCACTGGTTGGATTTTGTGCAAATTTCTAAGCATGAGGAGATCAGTTGTAATGATATATCTATAAAATTAAAAAAAAAAAAAACCTTTTTACCTTTGAAAAAAGATATATCTATAAAATATTAAATTTATCATTATCAACTTAACCTTTAAGGTTGATGGGTGATTTTGCATATTACAATATTACTCATACTTTATCAATTAATTTACATGTAGACTGTACAAACTCTCCATGATCCAATAAAGTACATACAAGAAATTAATTAATATTAATACAATCTTTCTATATAAATAAAGCATAGATCGTATCGTATTATCAAATCATCTCATTTGATAACCTTTTTTTTAAAAAAATACAAGATCAATATTTTTTATTTAGAAGAGAAAATTGATTCTTTCTCCAAAATTTTGTGGTACAATATTTTTCAAGCATTTTTCATAGGGTGATATCAAGTCCTCTCTTAAAGATGTTCAATCAAATATAGAAAATTCAATAAAATGAAAAATATGGCATGACACCTTAATTATCCTAATTTTATTATTACATGTGCGTGGGAGGAGAAACTTTTTCAAACTACAAAGTTGTCATCAAAGAAACGCTAGCTCACCCCTCCAAGGTAATGCACAATTTCGAGACCTTTTGCATATTATCCCATGGAAGACGATCTAGTGGCAAAGGCTTTGAGTCTTGTGGTATCACCGACAATTGCGAACGTGGAAATTTTCTTTGATATTTTTTTCTTTTCTTTTTTTGCCACGTATCGAACTTTCCCTAAGAATGTTTCCTTTCCTTTAGCTTGCTTTACCCAAAGATGTGTTGTATTTGCTATACTTTTATGGATGAAGCTAATTAATTAATTAAGGCCCTACGTGGATGTCTTTAGGCTAAGTAGAAAAATATAATGTTTAATCTTAAAAGTCAAACACTTGGCCGTGATACTTTTGGTTTCTCCCCTCTAGAATGCTTTGATTGCTTGGAAAAGTATTTAGAAACAATGTAGAAGTATAGCTTAATGGTAGAGCCCCAAAATTACTTTTCATTTTGATAGAGATGTCACTTGATGAAGAGTTCTTTTCGGGACGTGCCTTGAATGAGACGTAACATTTTCATTTCAAATGGAAGGTAAAAGACAAGAGACGAGGACTTTATCGCATTAAATGTAAAGATAAGAATGTATTTCTTATCCTCAAACCTAAACGCACATGTTTTAATTTGTAACATGCTCCCTACCTTGATTGTAGATATTATAAATTATGTTCAGTTTTTCTCAAGTCGAAAAACATTAGCGGATCTGTGCACAAATTGTATTGACATTGCTTGATGGCCCTGTGGTCAAGCGCGGTCGACCTCAAGGCTATTCC